CATCAAAATGGGAAAGGGATTCTTTGCTCCCAGCCTCTCCCTCACTCTCACTTCAATATTTCTAAATGACACAAATTCTCATTTACAGTACATGGCTAAGGAAAGCCATGACAAAACCGGTCATTAGGAAAAAAGGCAGGGGCCTTAGATAGTTGATTCTGGGTGTGCTAAAAGGACAATATTACACACATTGTAAAAGGTAGTCCTTGAGTTACAACAGTTTATTACAACAGTTTGTTCAAAGTTACTATCAGGGTTCCATGTAACACCCCCAACAAAAGAAGACTCCGAGGCTAGAGGTTCCTCAAAGTTCCATTTTATTAGAGATGTCATATTGGCACATCTGGGAAAACCTGATTCTGAAAGCTTCCAGGTTTTCACCACTCAAAGGAAAGCCCAAGCCCCTGCCCAGCACCTACATGTCCATCACATGGCCCAATCAATGCATCATTCCAACTGGAGATGCCTCCCAGTCACACCACTCCAGGTGCAGGGCAGGATGTCCTTGACTCTCAGAGAAAGGAATGTTATTATGACTATATACAGTATCTCCCCTGCTCCATGCAATCTCCTGTCTTAGTGTCCCACAACACTAAATGTGGCAGGCCTGAAGATCCAATGCAAAAGATGGCTTCCAGGCCTGACAGTTACAATGGCACTGGAAAAAAGTGACTTATGACCATTTTTCACATTGCAGCATCTCCATGGTCATGTGATCAATATTCAGATGCTTGGCAACTGACTCATATTTATGACGGTTGCAGTGTCCCACCGGTGATAACTTTTTGCGACCTTCTGACAAACAAAGCCAAAGGGGGAGCCAGATTTACTGAACAATCATGTCCCTAACAGCTGCAGGGATTCATTTTACAACTGTGGCAAGAAAGGTTGTAAAATGGGGCAAAACCTGGTTGCTTAGCAACAGAGATTTTGGACCCAATTGTGGTTGTAAGCCAAAGACTATCTGTATTGTATTATTAATATGAAATACACATACTTATGGGATTTAATTGTTTCAGTTCGCAAATAATTTTGGCCCTTCCCTTTTGAATATTTGCAATAAACTTTGTTTCGGTCAACTTGAAACCTGAATTTGTCTCTATCAAAATAAATTGTAGAATATCTTCATGATACCAAGGATTTTTTAAGAACAAATATAACCGCCATGGGTTGCTTTTGTTGCACCTGCTATTTAGATGTTTGAATTCATAAATATTTCCAGGCTGTTTAAAACACACCCACTGCACAGCCCATTGCAGCATGAAAAAACGATTTTCAATAACAGCTAGGATGACAAACAAGGAGAAAAGTTATTTTTAGTCTCTTGGCTTTAAAAAAAAAAACTATTTTGATTTTAGATTCCTATATTGATTATTGCAGTAATTGTGCCCCTTGAATGTTAAAGGTAAAAGTTTCCCCTGTCCAGTCGTGTCCAACTCTAGATGGAGATGTTCATCTCCATTTCTTAGCCAAAGGAGTCAGCGCTGCCTGAGACACTTCTATGGTCACATGGCCAGTATGACTATATGCTGAGGTCAGTGGTGGAATTCAAATTTTTTTACTACCAGTTCTGTGGGTGTGGGTTGGTGGGCATGGTGTATCTTGGTGGGCATGGCAGGGGAAGGATACTGCAAAATCTCCCTTCCCACCCCACTCCAGGGGAAGGATACTGCAAAATCCCCATTTCCTCCCCAATATCCTTCCTGGGGGAAGGATATTGCAAAATCTCCATTCCTACCCCACTCTGGGGCCAGCCAGAGGTGGTATTTGCCAGTTCTCCAAACTACTCAAAATTTCCACTACCGGTTCTCCAGAACCTGTCAGAACCTGTTGAATAGCACCCCTGGCTGAGGTGCTTGGAAAGCTGCTACCTTCCCCCTGCAGTGGTCCCTATTTATTTACTCGCATTTGCATGCTTTCAAATTGCTAGGTGGGCAGGAGTTTAGGGCAAGTAATGGGATCTCACCCCTTTGCATGGTGCTTGGGTCTTGAACAGGGGTGAAATACTCCCGGTTCGGACCGGATCGCTCGATCCAGTAGCGATGGCGGCGGGTGGTTTGGAGAACCGATAGCAAAAATCCCTGTGCCCCCACCACCATGCCCAGCTGAGCCGCTCAATCATCAGAGGCTTTTTTAAAAAAACTTTTAAAAGATTTTTTCTACAATCTCTTCTGATAAAAAAATGCTTTTAAAAGTAAAAAAAAAAAAGCCTCTGATGATCGCACGGTTCAGCTGGGATCATCAGAGGCTTTTCAAAGCATTTTTTCCTGCAACCTCTTGGCCGAAGAGGTGGTAAAAAAAAATGCTTTGAAAAGTCTGTGATGATCCCAGCTGAGTTGCCTGATTGGCAGAGAGGCATTTTTTAAAAAGCCTCTCTGACGATCCCAGCTGAGTTGCCTGATCAGCAGAAGCTTTTCAAAGCATTAGAAAAAATGCTTTGAAAAGTTAAAAAAAAAAAAAATTGGCCACACCCACCCAGTCACATTACCCCACACACTAAGCCATGCCCACAGAACTAGTAGTAACAGATTTTACATTTCACCCCTGGTCTTGAACCGGACTCTCAGCTTTCCAGCTGACAAGCTCAGCATCTTCAACTCAGCATCTTTAACATCACACCTGTTAGTTAAATGGACAAAAACCTTATACAGAGAGTAAGTAAACCATTACAAGGACAGTGTACAACTAGGCTGCCTCACGACCATAGCTGGAAGCAGAATTCCCATTGATAAGCAAGGTAAAGTGATTTCTGCTTAATTTTACCATCTTTTTTTTTTTTGCCACATTTGCTAAGTGAATCATACAGTTGGTAATTAAATCCACCTTCCCCCATTGACTTTGCTTGTTAGAAGCCATCTGGGAAGGCTGCAAATGGTGATTGCATGACCTCCAGGATGCTGCAATCATCATAAATACATGCTGGTTGATAAGCACCTAAATTTTGATCATGTGATTGTGGGATTGCTGCAACAGTTGTAGTGATTGGTTGTAAGTCACTATTTTTCAGTACTGTTGTAATTGTAATAATACAGTCATTCAAATTGTAATTTGAATGATTGCTAAATGACTGGTTGTATGTCAAGGACTACCCATATAAGTCTTCACATTTTTTTTCTGCATAAAGAAAATTAATCTAAATTCTTAAGCACTAAAAAATTAAGTTGCACATGGGTGGGTTATAAATCGTAGCCGACAGAATTGAAGGAGGGAAGCTTCAAGTCAGTTTTAAGTGTTAGGATAACAACAATCAAGGACAAACAAAATTCCTTGTCTAGCATCCGTAGGCAGCAATTCTGTTACAAGTTATGTAACAAATCCCAGGTGCAAACTTGACATCAGCGAAAGACAGTTTGTGAGGATAAAGTTGGTCTCAGCAACAATCTCCATTGATTCAAGGTCTCAACTGCACAAAAGTTTCTTTAGTAAACTTCTTAAGATGAACTTGCAAACCTCCATTTTCATCAGAGACAGCTAGTATCATTGAAGCACCACATAAAAATTTACAGGCTGTTTTGCAGAAGGGATGTGTGGAGATTGAGACCAGAGTGAGATGCTGAATAGACATTAAATATTTATTATGACTGTTACAAATGCAGTAAGGTGTAGCTTCCCACATTTTGAAATTAAAAAGAAAAAAAAAACACACAAGGAGAATTAATTAAGAATCAGTTATCTAGTTGCTCTATTTTCAATCTAGAACTGTGACAGCAGGCTATTCATATTCAGAGCTATGCGGACATCTCAAAATAGAGATAATTTAGACAAAAATCAATAATACCTTCATTCTCAAGATGTGTTCTTCAGATCAGCAAGAAATAATAATCATTATACTGCTCCTCGGAAATCTCAGCAGATTCATGTTTCCTTCCTACTGGTTTAACTTCCAATTCAGATAAGGATTGCTCCATTGTTCTAAAGTCAGAGGCAATATCACAATTTTTTAATTTTTTACCACAACGATTATTTAAGAAGCCAGAGCTTTACAAATTATCATACCATCAAAACATTTTTGCAATTATAAAGCTAATCAAACTTGCTTGTTGATCTTAGCACATGATGCAATTAAAGATCTAAGAACAACATGCAGATTTGCAGCCATAGACCTGGTGGCTGAAAGAGCAAATTGTGACAATTTGAAACTTTCTTCTCATGTTCCATTTAATAATGTTTCTAGAAAAAGAGACCTTTATTTTACAACCAATATTTTCTTACTATCGTATTCAGTTAGAGATGCATCATTTATTTATATTGTGTTCCATCTCAAAGGCACAACCCAGAGGCATTATAACTATTTGTCATTTTGCATCTGAGAGTATGAAATCACACATTTGATGTTTTAGTTAAATGAGCTTTTGAAAATATTATCAGCAGATGATTTTGCTCTCGAAAAGAGGAACTCAAAGAGTGTGCACAATGAAAGCATTGTGCAAACAACACAATGCACAATTATGCAAAACCAGCTACATAAATGTGCAACAATAGCAGCATTAGGCTATGAAGATAAGGGCTTTTCTTTTGACTTAGGAACATGTACAATAGTCAACACTGCTTTGAGTCTGAATTGTAAAAACTTCCCAGTCTTTTGCAAGATAAACATCCCAGCTCTGAACAAAAGTGGTAGAAATCTTAGTGGGTCAAATCTAACAGAGTTGACACTATTTTAATTTTCAAGAAGTAAAGAGCTACATTATCCATAAATTACAGTTTAATTTCAGCTTTTTTTTTTTTGCTTACATAAATAACTTTTCAGCCTATCTAAAAGAAAACCTGGTTTTCAGAATTTCCTGTGTATTTGTGCATGATATGCTCATAAATTATCTAGATTAGGAAGGTTCATGTTTTGAACACGATTCAGAAAAAAGTGCTTTGGATTTTACATGATCATAGCAGCATTTTCCTACTTATTAATTGGAGGAAACATGAAAAAGATATGTCTGCTTTTAGAGTCACATTAAAGTGAAGGACTTTTTAAAATAGCTACTTTTTTCTTTTACAGACTAATGCAGGAGCCTGAAGGGAAAAAAAAAGGAAGTCACTGCTGAATAGCAGACAGGTATATTTCCTGTGAATCCTGCTTGAAGTCTGCATAGCACTAATCTACCTTGTTTTTCTACGTATCCTTGTGGTATGTCTAAGCACTGTGTTATCCCTCCTGCAAAAGAACTAAATTGTCAAACTACCCTTAAACTCCCCCTCCCTTTTATTCTAAGGGTTTTCATAAAAAGCAGTTCATAGATTGAAACAAATATTTCATGCACTCCGAAGAGTTATGTCTCAATGAAAGAAAAAATATTGATTGAAAACTGAGTTTGGGATTTAATCCAAAATGTTCCAACCACATAATATATCTAGCTATATTGTTTCATTTCATTTCATGTAGTCATTATATTCTGTTTACAAGCCCCACCATTTCTCCCAAGAGAGTTTTAGCTTTAATATGCTAGTCCAAAAGTTCATTTTGTCATGGTCTACGCAACCTCGGCTAGACCCGCTAAAGAAAACGTAATGCCACATACTGTGCTATGCACTGATAGGCAGTGGCTACTCCGAAATCAGAGGTTTTTTTAAAATCCAATCACCGAATGTTATAAATTGTGAAGTTTGTGACTGCCCATGAGTTTGTTCTGATAGCAAATTAATCTTGAAGCTATTTTTGAGAGGGAAAGGGGTGAACTTGCAATCAGCATGGAACAGTAGCATGAGTAAAAAAAAGTGTGCAGTATTCCAGCTGTTTTCAGATAGGAGTCCTATGTAGTAGCAATGCAGTATTCTCTGGTACTTTCAAATAAACTACATTGCAGATAGTGCTTGTGAAGCTTTGCTCAGAACTAAGAGCTGATAAAGAGGAAAAAAAGAATATAGAGAACAGTCATTTATTCTCAGGACCTATCAGGGTTTGCATAAGCTACATATAGAAATACATATAGAAATGCTCTAGCAAGAAAGCAGAAACCAGTTTATTACATTTCATCCATCCAGAGAAATCTATTTCCCACTTGGATCTGATTGTGGAGCTTTGCAGTAATTGTCTTCTTCTTGTACTTTGTACTGTGAAACTCTCATCCATAGGAATATATTAACTCACGGGCTCCAGCATATCAACCCTGAAGTAATCCTTTCAAACAAACAGATGGATTCAGAATCCAGTCAGTCTTCAGAGTTAATTCATGCACTGTATTTGTCGCGTGAGAATGGCAATGGTAATACAATATATGTTATGCTAAAATATGGATTATTTAACTGTGATTTTTTTGAAGCTTGATTGATACAATGTACTATTTCAAAATCAGACCAAGGGGATAGCTATATGGCAAACCTTATTTATGACAATGTAATGGTGGAGATGAGATGGTTAGAGGTACCATGCTAGGAATCAGGATATGGTGAGTTCTAATCCTGCCTGAATCTTAAATCAATTGGCTGATTTAGGGTCAATTAATCTCTTAGCCTTAGGAAGAAGGCAATGGCAAACATTGCCACACACACGCACACACACACACACACACGCACACACACACACACCAAAAGCAAAGCGGCAATGACTACTTCAGTATTTGATGCTAAGGTCTTCTACTCCAGAATTTGTTCAAAGAAGAGCATTAACTTGGCTGCTGAATTAATTCATTTTTTCTGGGTTTGCACAATATAATAAACCAAATAGCATATGTTTGCACACCAAAGCCATCACATACCGAAAAAAAAGGGGAGGGAGAAATTTAACTAGTTTGAGAAGTAATCAAGGTTAGTATTGTCATTATGCAAATGATGCAAATCATAATGTTGCATGCAGAGTCCATTATACAGGTCAGCTAAATTAAGGTTTCACTGTACTCTGTAAAGATTAAACAGACATAACATCAAATTGTTTCACTCACATTGGCAAGGTACCCCTAAAAATTTGGTATGATGTCCCTAAGGATTTGAGAATGTAAGTTAAATAAAATATTATTATTGAAAAATAGGCTAGGTTTCTCTTGGGAATTTTGTATACCACACAGCCCAGCTCCATTAACCAGCAGCCTGCTTGATAACTATGTTGATCATTATAGTGTATATTCTGAAATAATAGAAAAGGAACCCAAGTATTGATCCCACCGCATGAAGACACATAAAATACAGAAATTTCCATTTCAAAATAGAAGGTTGTAGCCTCTAAATATCTTTGGGGAGGGTTTCCCCCCACCCTCAACTGCCATGCAAAAGTCAATATTTCTACTTCACTTTCTAACTATAACTTTGGCACTATTATAAAGGGGAGTAGAAATTGGCTGTGTGTTGTAGAGCATCAAGTGTCAAAATATGAGGGGGGTGGATGGGAAAGAACTCCAAGATGGGGCATTCTGACATATAACCAGATTAAGTGGATAATTCATTAGCAATTCTAATCTACAGAAAATCCCTAGCAAAGAGGTCAATCCACTCCAATGCAAGGTTAACCTGGTGATGAGAGATTCAAACAACTCTTTCATAAGGGTTTTCCTTTCTTGTATTTGTTTGGGAGTATAATCCTTTGACATTAGACATTTATAATTCTTCTGATTGTTTGCTTTTCATTGCTGCTTTGATTGGAGAGTGAAAAGGAAACCTTAAGTGAAAAGAGTGGATTTTTCTGGGTTTGTACAATATAATACAGTAAACCCTTTCTGAGTGATCAAAATCAAGATTCTCTCACAATTCCCTGTATTGTTTTCCATGGAAACACAACTAGAATTCTATTTACCTATATTTTCCAGCTATTTGCATTATTCTTTAGCTTGTAAAACAATACAAATGTGTTTCTCTGTGAGTGTGCAAGTCTATTGCCCTATAATATACTGAGATTGCAACTGAAATTCATCTTTAGATGCATTAAGAAAAACTCTATATTTTGTGGACAGTGGAACAACATGAAAAGAATAAGTATTAGCCTTTAGCTGGGAATTCGGTAGCCCTCTCTGACTCACATCCTGCCCTTTGTTCCTCTGTGATTACAGTGAACTTGTAATCACAGATTGTAGTGAACTTAGGTTGAAGGACAGGTTTGGATCAGATAGTAGAAATTCTAGCATTTGATGCATATTTATTTATTTATTTATTTATTTTTGAATTTGTATACCGCCCTTCTCCCTGAGGACTCAGGGCGGTGAACAGCCAGATAAAAACACCAGATACAAATATTAAAACACATTTAAAAATATATATAGATTTGGCCCCGTTAATTAAAAACGATCAGCAAAACAGAACAATTAATAAAACCCTTAAAAAGAAATTAAGCCAGCCCGGCTTGTTGAAAAAAGAAAGTTTTAAGGGCACGGCGGAAGGCACTGAGGTCATGGATTCTCCTTATCTCAGGGGGCAACTGATTCCAGAGGGTGGGTGCCCCCACAGAGAAGGCCCTCCCCCTGGGGGTCACCAGCCTGCATTGTTTGGCTGATGGCACCCCGAGGAGGCCCTCTCTGTGGGAGCGCACGGGTCGGTGGGAGGTCGTCGGTGGCAGTAGGCGGTCTCGAAGATAGCTAGGCCCTATGCCATGGAGCGCTTTAAAGGTGATAACCAACACCTTGAAGCGCACCCGGAAGACCACCGGGAGCCAGTGCAGTTCACGCAGGAGCGGTGTTACATGGGAGCGCCACGCTGCTCCCGTCACTACCCGCGCTGCTGCGTTCTGGACCAGTTGGAGCCTCCGGGTGCTCCTCAAAGGGAGCCCCATGTAGAGAGCATTGCAGTAATCAAGGCGAGAGGTCACGAGGGCATGAGTGACTGTGCACAAGGAATCCCGATCAAGAAAGGGCCGCAACTGGCGGATCAGGCGAACCTGATAAAAGGTCCCCCTGGTTACAGCCGTCAGATGTTCCTCCAAGGACAGCTGTGTATCCAGGAGGACTCCCAGATTGCGAGCCCTCTCTGTGGGGGCCAAGGACTCGCCCCCAATAGTCAGTGATGGAGTCAACTGACTATATCGGGATGCCGGGAACCACAGCCACTCAGTCTTGGAAGGGTTGAGCCTGAGCCTGTTCCTCCCCATCCAGATCCGTACAGCCTCCAGGCACTGGGACATCACTTCAAGGGCATCGTTGGGGTGGCCTGGGGTGGAAATGTACAGCTGAGTATCATCAGCGTACTGATGGTATCTCACCCCAAGGCCACGGATGATCTCGCCCAGCGGCTTCACATAAATGTTGAACAGGAGGGGCGAGAGGACCGACCCCTGAGGCACTCCACTTATAAGAGGCCTCGAGGTCGACCTCTGCCCCCCTGCCAACACGAACTGCGACCGGTCGGAGAGAAAGGAGGAGAACCACCGTAACATGGTGCCCCCCATCCCCAACTCTTCCAACCGGTGCAGCATGATACCATGGTCGATGGTATCAAAAGCCGCTGAGAGGTCTAACAGGACCAGAACAGAGGAGCAACCCCTGTCCCGAGCCCTCCAGAGATCATCAACCAACGCGACCAATGCCGTTTCCGTGCTGTGCCCAGGCCTGAAACCAGACTGGAACGGATCCAGATAGGATGTTTCCTCCAGGAATTGCGGGAACTGTCGCGCGACCACACTCTCAACAACCTTCGCCAGGAAGCGAAGGTTGGAGACAGGACGGTAGTTGGCCAATATTGCTGGATCCAGGGACGGCTTCTTGAGGAGAGGCCTCACCACCGCCTCCTTCAAGGCCGCGGGGAAGTAACCCTCACTCAACGAAGCGTTGATAATACCCTGGAGCCAGCCTCGTGTAACCTCCCGGGAGGCCAGTACCAACCAGGAGGGACACGGGTCCAGTAAACATGTGGCCGCACTAAGTCTCCCCAAGATCCTGTCCACATCATCGGGAGTCACAGCATCAAACTCCTCCCAGATAACATTCTCAGGACTATTCCTCGTCACCCTGCCCTGATCTACCCAGTCAGAGTCCAAGTCCCCCCGGATCTGAGCGATTTTGTCATGCAGGTATTGTCCGAAATCCTCCGCCCTGCCTTCCAATGGATCCTCCCGCGCTCCCAGATGGAGCAGGGAGCGGGTTACCCTGAACAGGGCGGCCGGACGATTCCCTGATGACGCAATAGAGGCGGAAAAGTAATTAAACTTTGCCGTCTTTATCGCCACTAGGTAGGTCTTAATATGCGACCTTACCAGTGTTCGGTCAGATTCAGCGCGACTGGCCCTCCAACCGCTCTCTAGGCGTCTTTTCCGGCGTTTCATCTCCCTCAGTTCCTCGGTGAACCAAGGAGCCGCGAGGGATCGACACCGGGTCAGAGGCCGCAAAGGCACGACTCGATCCAAGGCCCCACCAGCCGCCCGGTCCCAGGCAGCTACTAGGTCCTCGGCCGAGTCGTGTGCCAGATCATCAGGAATTGGCCCAAGCTCCGTCTGGAACCTATCAGGATCCATCAGGCGCCTGGGGCGGACCCATCTAATTGGGTCCGCCTCCCTGCGGCGGGGTGTAGCGGTACGAAGGTCCAGACGAAGGAGTGAGTGATCTGACCATGACAAGGGTTCCATATCTATATCCCCTATAACAAGATCACTCAACCACTGGCCAGAGACAAAAATCAAGTCTAGAGTGTGTCCCCCCCCGTGAGTGGGGCCATGAACTAACTGGGTCAGGTCCATGGCCGTCATGGAAGCCATGAACTCCCGAGCCATCCCAGACGTTTCACCAACGGATGGCAAGTTGAAATCACCCATGACCATAAGCCTGGGTGTATCAACTGCCACCGCGGCTATCACGTCGAGTAGCTCAGGCAGGGCTGCTGCCACGCGGCAGGGAGCCAGGTACGCAAGCAGCAAGCCCATCTGAACCCCATGACCCCATCTCACGAAGAGGGACTCACATCCGACAATCTGAGGCACAGTGGTCTCCCTCGAGCCAACAATGTTCAAAGCAATGTTTCAGAGTCATTGGTTACTCGCATATGATTTAGTGCTGGCGCCAAAGGCTTTTCACTGTTTTGAAATAATATAAAAGAAGCACACAACACTGCTTGAAACAGCAGCTTATTTTGAGTGGCTGGTGAGTCTGCGGAAGTCTAGATCTGCCTGGATTATTTGGAAAAAGAAGACAAAAGCATAGTACAGGTGAGTCAGAGGAAAATACAGAACCTCACAATACAAACAGAATGACGAGTAGAAAGGAATTTGTATGTCTGGCTTTATTTTCAAAGGCCCGGCACCAGATTCCTATTATGGGAAAATGCCACAGTTAAAAAGGAAGGAAAGCAGACAGTG